CTTCCAGATCATGAGGAAGTACCAGTTGCGGCTGAACCCGACCAAGTGTACATTCGCGGTTCAGACCGGCAAGTTCCTCGGCTATATGATGACCAAGAGAGGAATCGAGCCTAACCCGGCCAAAGTAAAAGCGATTCTGGATATGCAGCCACCTTCCACCGTTCGGGAAGTCCAGCAATTGACCGGTCGGTTGGCAGCCCTCAGCCGGTTCCTCTCCAAGCTAGCCGAGCGCGCTTTACCTTTCTTCAAGGTATTGCGGAAGGTTAATGGATTCGTCTGGGACGAAGAATGCCGAGCGGCTTTTGACGAGCTGAAGGAGTATCTCATGTCACCGATCGTGCTCTCAAAGCCCGAGCTCGGAGAGGAGCTAGACGTGTACCTCGCCGTCTCCGATCGTGCAGTAAGCGCAGTTCTGTGCCGAACCGATCCGGAAGGGGTCCAGCGACCGGTGTACTATGTAAGCCACGCGCTACATGGTCCCGAGCTCCGGTACTCCCGACTCGAGAAGGTCGTCTACGCCCTTTACATCGCCGCGAAGAAGTTGGCTCCCTACTTCCAAGGTCGAGCAATTCGCGTGTTGACCGACCAGCCGATCGGGCCAGTCCTCCGAACTGCTTCATCATCAGGTCGCCTAGTCAAATGGGCGTTAATGTTGACCCAGTACGCGATCGAATACCGACCAAGACCGGCTATTAAAGGTCAAGCTCTTGCGGATTTCTTGGTTGAGTGCACCGCCCGGGATACCCGGCCTCCTGAGGTTGCGGATCCCGAGGCTGAGTGGTGGTCGCTGGCTACAGATGGGTCGAGTAGCAAAAAAGGGGCAGGAGGAGGAGTGGTGGTCACGAGCCCGGAAGGATTCAAGATCTATTTTGCTCTTATGTACCAGTTCCACCCAACCAACAACGAGGCCGAGTACGAAGCATTCGTTAATGGCTTGCAGTGCGCTCGGGACTTGGGGGCTGAATACATTCGAGCTCAGACAGATTCCGCGCTCGTGGTCGGGCAAGTCCTCGGGGACTATGAAGTCAATGGTGAGCGTTTGCAGTTGTATCGAGACCTTGCCATGGAAAAGCTCGCTCAGTTCCGGGGGTATACCGTCCGACACATACCCCGGTTGGATAACGCCGATGCGGATATCTTGTCTAAACTGGCCCAAGACGCCCCGGAGCACATTTCGAAGATAGCTCGGATCGTGGTGATCCCAAGACACAGTATTCACCGTCTACCGGTCAATCCCATCCAACCGGTAGATGACAATTGGATCACCGATCTGAAGGAGTACCTCGAGCACGATAGCCTCCCCGACGACCCGCAGCGTGCTGGAAAGGCCAAGCTAAGAGCCCCAAGGTTCCAAGTCTTGGACGGTCGTTTGTACAGGCGATCGTATGGAGGCCCCCTCATGCGTTGCTTGACCGCATTTGAGGCTGAGTTGGTCATGAAGGAGCTACACTCGGGAATCTGCTCTTCACATCAAGGAGGTCGATCCCTGGCCCGTCGTATCATGTTGATCGGGTACTATTGGCCGTCCCTCCAGCTAGACTGTGAAAAGTTAGCTCGGGAATGTGAGACGTGCCAATTGTACGCCCGGATGCCTGGACGACCGGCAACGTTCTACCAGCCAGTCACGACCGCAATTCCTTTCGCAAGGTGGGGGGTAGACATCTTGGGACCCTTTCCTCAGCTCTCCGGTCGGAGAAAGTTCGTGATCGTCGCCATAGATTACTTCTCCAAGTGGATAGAAGCCGAGCCTTTAGCCACGATCACATCTCAGCAATGTGCTCGCTTCCTTTGGCGCAATGTCATTTCCCGTTTTGGCGTGCCCGTGCATCTCATTAGCGACAACGGTCGCCAGTTTGTGAGCCAATACTTCCAGAATTTCTTGGCCACGATCGGGACGACTCACGTCCGGTCGTCGGTCGCTTACCCCCAGGGAAATGGACAAGTGGAGAATGCTAACCGGACGATATTGGAAGGTCTGAAAAAGAAGTTACACTCGGCCGGTCGTAGTTGGGCCGATGAGTTGCCATATGTTTTGTGGACTTATCGGACGACCCCGAGGGAAGCTACTTTGGAGACCCCGTTCGCCCTGGTTTACGGAGCCGAGGCCCGACTTCCGATTGAGGCCTGGATTCCGACCGATCGAGAGAGAACCTATAATGCGGAAGAGAACGAGCACGCGATGGCCGTGGACCTTGATGGGGTCGAGGAAAAACGAGAGCTAGCCGCTCGACGCATAGCCGAGTATCAAAAGCGCGTCAAGAGTTCTAAAGATGTTCGGGTCAACCCTCGTTATTTTCAAGAAGGAGACTACGTTCTACGACGAAGGGAGGCCAGCCAACCTCTAGAGGGCGGAAAGCTAGCTCAGAACTGGGAAGGGCCGTACGTCATCAATGCTGTCATACGGCCGGGTACATACCGACTAGAGACAACGACTGGTCGGCTAATCGAGGGGACTTGGAATTCCGAGCACCTCGTTCTTTTTAGGCATTAGCCTATTTTTTGTATTTTTAGACGAAGTGGGGGCTTGACCTGCGAGTTAGTCCCGGTCGTCAGTTCTATGTAAATTTATGGTTGTAAAATTAATTCAACCGCCTGCGAGCGGGAAAGTTTAATGTATATACGATCGATGATTGCCCGACCGTTTGTATGCGGCGGCCCGATCGGTTATTTTCTTTCACCTTCGTTACATGCAGATCAGTTCGACATTCATCAACCGGGCGAAATCTATCGACCGGTCAAAACGCGCTCCACATTGGCGGACACCCAAGTCATGCCACTGATCGGGGAAGCCAGGAGCTCTCAGCATTATTCCCCGATCCGTCCAACTTCTGTCCACTATTGCACCCACTCGTGCCTCGAGCGCACAATAGTGTGGGGGCTGGGATAAGGAAGTATTTGCAGGCCCGTCACTCGGTTACACTCCGACCGTAGAGGCTTATCCTCAGACGTCGAAATATCGAACGCACGACCAGGCCATAAGGTCGTAGGTCGGGCGTTGAACGGACCGAGTATTACGAGACCGGGTCTAGAGGCCAGGTGGTCGAGTGATTATGATCGGTGTGTGCAAATTGAAAGCAAGGAAACGAAAGAACGAATAACACGAGTTAGAGCAAAAACGAATTTTATTAACAAGCAAAAAGTTGCCCGGTACAATTCGGGACCGGGCTCCCGATCAATGGGCCTTTACAAAAAAAGAAGAAGAAAGGAGCCTATTCTACTTCTTCGTCTCCCGAGCTCCGGCGGTCGGTTCTTTTCCGCTCGGGGTGGCCGCCGTTGACGCTCCAGGCTCGGCCGCCTTGGCTTTTGGGGCGAACGGAGAAGGACCGGGATCGGCTAGGTCTGGGGGTAAGGCCGAGAGGACCAGCTGAAGGTCTTCCCCGTCCAGGGCCTGTTCCAACCGAGAACGGACTCGTTCGAGCATCTTCCGCTTCCCGGCCGTGAAGCCCCAGCGACCGAACGAGACGATCAGCTCTTCCCCGATCTCTGTTCCCCGGGCTGCAGTGAGGAAGGCCGAGCCCAAGTCCTTGTCTTTGAAGGCTGCCCGCGCCAGCTCGCTCGGATTCTCGAGCTGAGCCTTCAGCTCCCTGGCCTCTCCGATCGCCCGGCTGGCGACCTTCTCGGCAAGAACCCGCTCCTCGTCGCCCTTCTTCAGGGCCTTCTGGGTCTTCTCCAGCTCGGCTTGGAGGTCCTTGATCTCCTTCAAGCGACGGGCGGCCGTCTTCTTGTGGTGATCAGCTTCCTCGGCCAGCATGGCTCGACCTTGTAGGAGCTGGGCGGCCCGGGAAATCTGCAAAACAAGAGACGTTCGGTTAGCCCGATCAAAAACGCTTGGGCAGAGAAAGTATAAGTTGGGAAACTCACCTCAGCCAGGTCGTGGCCGATCTGTTCAGCCACCTGGGTCGGGGTCATCTTCCCCAGGTCCACTCGGGCTGGCGCGGCGTTGCCGATCCGTGCCAGCACGGACGTAGGCTCCCTCTCTCGCCCGACCGAAGGGCTCGGGCTGTGCTGCTCACGGCGGCGCTTCAGGCTGCCCACCTCGGTCGCGCCCTGGACGGCGACCTTCTCCTTGCCCCGGGCGACCTCCACCCGGGTGACCAAGACGTCAGGCTGCTCGACGATGAAGCCCTCGCCCGTCGACACGGTCGAGGCACTCAGGGGTCGGGCAGTGGGAATCTCCTTTTCCCCGGCTGCCTTGGTCTTGGCCTTCTTCTTCCCGCCGAGGGAGATCTTCGTGGCGGGGGAAGGGCGGTGTCTTCATCGCCGAATTCTGCCATGGCTGCAATAAAAGAGTTAAGTTAGTTAGATCAAGAAACGAAGCTAGGTCGGGAGGAACAGCTCGAGCTAAACCTTTCTTCTTCCGTTTCGACGGCTTGGCGACCGTCACGCCCATCGGCACGGGCAGGTACTTCTCCGGCAGCTCGTATGTGGGGGGCGGGAGTTGAGCCGCCTCGAGACTTTCGGCCGTCCGGAAGATTGTGTATTCGTGCACCTCGCTCGAAATCCGGCTGACCGTGTCCCTCAGCGCTTGCGTCTCGACCGGCACCACTTGTTTCCGAAAGTGGGTGCTCCAAGCGCGATCAACCGGGAGGATCCAAGGGTCGTATTTGAGGGAGAAGATCCTGTTCTTCCACCCCCTGTTGTTCCCAGGCAGTCCTTTGATCGCGCACATATCGGCCCGGGACTGCAACATCAGGAACCCACCTCCATAGTTGCCCGGGAGGACTTTGACCTGGTAGATGAAGTTGAACAACTCCATCGTGCACTCGGCCTCGTGCCGAGCGCATATCTGCGGGAAGCAGGCGAGGATCCGGTGGGCGTTAGGGCAGATCTGGGCCGGGACGACCCGGTAATAGGCCAAGAAGGCGTTCAGGAGGGGGGTGAAGGGAATGGCGATCGGGGCCATCAGGGAGTCGTAGTGCATCCCGATCCATTTGCCCCGATGCCGATCGATGACGTTCCCCAGCTGCCGGCTCGTGTCAAATTCTACCCGACCCACGAGCCTTTCGGCGATCCTAGCCGCCTCGCCCTTGGTAAGCAGGCTCATTTGCTGTTCGACGTTCTCGCTGTTCAAGAACTCGAACTCCGCGACGGCTGGGGCGGCTGGCCCGGCCGTGTCCTCTTCAGTCGGCTCAGGGGCCGGACTCGGGTGGTCCCCAACCACCCGAGTGGGCGTTTCCCTAACGCCTTCGGTCGGGGATCCTTGTCTCCCCGACGTGGTTCCTTCTTCTTCCTCGTCGGAGCTCCCCGATCCGCTTGAGCTGGAGCTCGACGACCCGGATGAGCTGGACGACGTGTGTTGTGCGGCGGCCCGCTCGGGAGAAGGACCCGGTCGGCTGATAGCTTCGGGGGAGTAGGACATGATGTCCACCTCCTCGTCGCTGAGGTGCTCGACCTCTTCGTCGTAATCCGCGATCGATGCGTTTTGGCTATCCGAGTCCGACATAGTTCTACCTAAAGGTCGGTCGGGAGTTAGTACAGGGTTCGGGGAATTAGCTCGAAGTTAGTGCTATCCTACTTCTACGTTAAGTGGAGAGTAAACAAAGAGCAAAGAACTAAGAGCTTACCGAGTGAGGAAACTTTGAAGAAGATCTGAAGTTTTGCTCTGCTTGATCGCCTTGCTGAGATGCTCTGCTCGGGATTCTTAGAGGATACCGACTGAAGCAAAAGAGTGAGGAAAGTTCAAATGAGGGCCTCAAGGGCCTATTTATAGGAGGGCATTTAGGCGGGAAATGGGCCAACTTGCCTGACACGACCCGCGCTGAATCCGAGGCGACGGATGGGATCGCCGAGGCCGGCAGAGGCCGACACGTGGCGTAGGAAGGAATGACAGCTGGCAGGTCGGCTTGGTGGCTGACGGTTGGGCTTCTTCATCCCGTCCCGTTTTTTCCCGACTGATCAAAAAGGCCCGGGCTGGGGGGCTCTTGGTAGGGAATATCCCGACCGAGATAAGCTCCACCACGACCGACTTGCCTTTGTCTTTCTCTTGTGATCTTTGCAGGTGGCAGGTCGGGCTTTTTCCATGAAGACCCCGGTCGGGAATGGCCGGGAGTTGCCCGAGCGACGGTGTCGACCACCGAGCGGTAGCCCTCTGGCGAAAGAGCTGACAACGGACACGTGGCGGCTCTTTACATCGACAGCCATGGCACCCGGGAGGATGACACGTGGTGGCTACGTGGAGGGCATGCCGAACGGCTGGAATCCTGTCCCCGGCATAGCGGCTATAAATACCCACAGTGGCTACAGTGTAAAGGACTTTTGGACGATCGATAGGTTGTTGTTAGAGAATCCCGACCGCAGTCAGTCGGTACTCAGAGCAGCCAAGTAGATTGTACTTAGGGCCTTTACCGAGATCAATAAAGATTTTACTTGCTTTAATTGGTCTCGTGTTATTTTATATTGCTTACGTAGAATTAGCAGTATCAATATATATATAGATGTGTATTCAAATGAGGACAAGTATATTATAGAGGACTGTGAAGACAAATATAGTGTGTGCCATTAGTCGGTATGTCGTGTGCATGGCCGAATGTAGTCGTGTGCCACAGTTTGTATGTCGCGTGCTAGATTTGTTAATTTATAGAGTCCGGGTTCGAAACATGATGTTTACATTTATTCTTGTGTGCCATTATGTATTAAGTTGTGTGCCTGGTATTAATTTGTTGTGTGCCCATTATTTGTCCTCACAGTTCTCTATATATTGTTGTCCTCATTTGAACTCAACCCTATATATATATATATATATATATATATATATATATATATATATATATATATATATATATATATATATATATATATATATATATATATCTGTTTGTGTGTGTGTGTGTGTGTGTGTGTGCGTGTGTGTGTGTAGTTTGGTTCAATGAGAACAGGGCTTCCCATGCGGTTTGCACTATTAGATATGCATAAATGCAGCGCATAGTGTTCGAAAATGCACGAGAATAAAATGTCACAAAATGTACCTCACATAATGATGTATTTTCAGACACTTTATGGTGCATTTATGCCAACCTAATGGTGCATGCCACACCAGCAGAGCACATTGTTGTACCTTCAACCTTTAAACTATACCATGCACATTTTTGTCTTTCCAGAGTTTCAGTGCACATATATGTATATATATATATATATATATATATATATATATATATATATATATATATATATATATATATTAAAGGACATTTAATCTTGAATGAATCACTAATTACTAATTTTAGTTGAATATTGTGATTTTTTTATGATTTGTGTTGAAGATCATATATTAAATTTAGTCTTTTCAATAGTTGTTGTATATTTTTGTGCTTTACAGTGCACATTTTTGCCTTCTAGTGTATATTGTTATGTCTTCCAGAGCACATTGTTATGTCTTCCAGAGCATATTGTTGTGCCTTCCAGTGCGCATTGTTGTGGATCGCATGTAGCAATTTTTTTTTTAAAAGATGAGTTGATGAATGGCTGAGATGCAACCGCACATTTCAGCTGCAGCTTCTTTTTCACTTGAACCCTTCCTTATATATATATATATATATATATATATATATATATATATATATATATATATATATATATATATATATATATATATATATATATATATATATAGATTTTGGTTCCTGTGAGAACAGGTCTTTCCGTGTAGTCAGTGCGTCATACACCATTAGGTATGCATAAATGCACCATATAGTGTTCGAGAATACACCAAAATGAAATGCCAAAAAATGCACCACAAAAAAAAAAAAAAAAAAAATACACCACACATAATGGTGTATTTTCGAACACTGTGTGGTGCATTTATGCATACCTAATGGTGTATGCCGCACTGACCGCACGGAAAGACCAGCTCTCACAAAAACCTGAACCTATAATATATATATATATATATATATATATATATATATATATATATATATATATATATATATATATATATATATATATTTTTTTTTTTTTTTTTTTTTTTTGAAAAATACTAATGCATTGATGATTATAACAGATGGGTAATACAGGCCTCCACGACCGTAGGACAGACAAAGACTCCGACGCCCTTGCTAGTACATGAACGACACAGTTCGCTGACCTTCTGACATGGCGAACAACTACGTTCCCGATGTCATTAGCAATCCAACGACATTGCTTTACAACTAAACCAACATATGAATTGTCTAAACAAGATGAATTAAAAACATTTCAAAAAGTAAGACAATCAGACTCTAACACAAGATTATTAAAAGTACAGGACTTCAACCATGTTAGAGTTTCTTTTACAGATAATGCCTCTGCTAGATACGGGTCACGCCCGCATTCAAGTCGGCCACCGTATGTAGCCACGAAGCTGCCCATGTGGTCGCAGATTATTGCCCGAAAACCAGCTCCATTCTCGAACACTGCCGCATCAATATTACACTTTAGCATGTTTGCAGGTGGTGGAGACCAAATCTGAGCTGGGATGTTGTTCAGACTATGAGCTCTAGGTGGAGAAAGAGTCTCCTGCCACAGGCAAGCTAACATGTCAACCTGACGATGCAGATTAACAATAGTTTGCTCCTCGTGCCGCCATACCAGCTTGTTTCTCGCCGTCCACAGCACCCAAGTTGTAGCAGCCAGTCTAACGATGTCCAAAGAAGAAGCATCCCTAACCACTGTATTTAAGAAGCTTGCAAAACTCCCACCTTGTAGCACGTCCATCTCTCAGCTCCCCATAGATGAAGTGCGACTGGACATGTACAAAAAAGATGTTCTAGGGTCTCATAATCAGCTGGACAAAAAAGGACAGCCGCCTCCAGCCCATACTCGACGAGCCTTGAGTGTTTCGCGTGTTGGCAACACTCCACGTGCACAGCGCCATAGCAGATTCTTCACTTTGGGAGGAAACTCTAATGCGCCATAGCTTCTTCCACTCAACAAAACCAGATTGATTGTCCGTCGGTGTCGACGTTGCAGTGAGTACACGATAGCTATCTCGAACAGAGTAGAGGCCTCGTAAGTCCCCCTTCCATCGCCAAGTATCGCTTAAGTGTGGTGAGACTGGCGTCGCAAGGATGCGCTGAACATCTTCAGGAGCAAAAACGTCACGAATAATTTCCCTATCCCAAGTGCCTTCGTTAGTGAGAAGGCCACTTACTCTCGCCTCCTGAAGCTCAGGCACGCAACTGGTATGAAGGTAAGGGTTCCCCGCACCTGCCAACCATGGCCATTCCCAAATCTTCGTGTCCGCTCCATCACCAATCCTACGGATCGACCGCATGCGAAGAAGAGCCTGCCCCGCAAGAATGCTGTGCCAGATGTAGCTGGGGTTATGTCCCAATCGAGCATTTAAGAAATCAACGTTTGGGAAGTATTTCGCTTTCAAAACGCGACAGACAAGGGAGGTTGGATTGGCCATCAATCGCCAGCCCTGCTTTGCTAGTAAGGCAACATTGAAATCGTGAAGTTGTTTGAACCCCAAGCCGCCCGCCGCTTTTGCTCAACAAAGCCGTGAACAACTGAGCCACGGGATGCCACGGTCATGTGTCCCATTCAGCGCCCACCAATATCGATTCATAAGCTGCTCCAGTCTCTCACAAACTTGTTTAGGAATAAGATACGTTGACATGGTGAAAATCAGCATTGCCTGTGCCACCGATTTCAAAAGAACTTCCTTACCCGCCCGCGATAGAAACTTGTGCTGCCAAGAGTGGATACGTTCACGAATTTTCTGCTCAATATACCGGAAAGCTGAGGATTTGTTGCGTCCCAAGAATGACGGCAATCCTAAGTATTTGCCAAGATCCACCATGCGTCGAACTCCTAGAACAGTAGCAATATGCGCTTGGATGTCGTCAGGGGTACTGTAACACCCCGTGTTACGACCCCTAAAACCAAATTAATTAAACAATTACTCAGCCCAAAAAGGGAGTTAAAATCCACTAATTAGCTAAAAAGGGGTCCACCATAGTCCATGGGCCTTTATCCCTAAAACCAATCCCTTAGTTCTATAAGAAATAGAATTAGCAAACCCTTGCCACTTAGACCCTAATTAGGACTCTTATATATATATATATATATATATATATATATATATATATATATATATATATATATATATATATATAGTCATAAGGGGCACCTAGAACACACACCACAATAATCTCTCACCACACAAGAAGTTCCAAAAATTCCCTTATGAGAAATCAAGAAAGAAGAAATCTTAAAGAAAGACCCTTCATAGCCAAGGAAATTAATTAAGGCTAAGAGGTAACCCATGTCTCAACAAAACCTATTTTCTTCACTATAATCTCCTTCTTTGACTCCTTCTATATGCTTGTGTCTTGATGGATTCCTCTATGATATTTGTGATATAATCTTGATGATTGATGAGATGATTTATGTGTGTTCTTGATGATCTTAATGACCTTGATGTTGAAAAGAGGTTCTTGATATTGATGTGATGATTCTTGA